TCGCTCAAAATCCCAGCGTAAAGCATCTTATCTAAGCACAAGTGTTACAGGTTTTTATTAAGTAAGATGTTTCTTAGCTAAGTCTTTCTGCGCCAAGTCTTGTATTTCAGACGAAATATGCTATTTATAGAGGAGTTGTCGTCTCAGTACGTAAGACGCGCCATTTTTTTCCTGGTATAAATAAACCTATTGCGATCAAAAAACCAAACGCGACAGGGCAAGCTATTGTAGGTGTTTGTTAAGAACCGTTTTCAACGGTTTTTAGCTCTATTGAAAGACAAATTGTGACCGTATGTAACAAGTCAGACATCTTAACGCTACCATTTTCTTCGGACTGAAATAGGATGCCTCTTTCTCATAATGACTCAAAGACCGATATGGGCACGAAGTAGACAGGAGCCAAGCGCAATGAACCTCGCTTCTAGCTGGGTGCAGTTGGTGCAGACCCATGTGTCAGGCCTGAACACGGGATTGGAACGCGATATATGGCCATATATATGCAGATCTCTTGGAAGGGGGGAGGTGATATGGGTCTAGGCCGATTACTAGCTTGTTACATAGCAGGAAATTAAAGAAGGCCGGTGAAACATTTGTTAAATGGTTACCCTATTACAGTACTGTCATTAAATTGACAACCCGTATGCTCAATGTCGGAAACATGAGTACAAACGCAGTGCATATTCCATTCCAAGCCGTGAACTGAATATTATTTTCGAGCAAAACGACTCTCTTCCGTCTGGCTGAATTCACTCCATCCATTGCATCTTGTCTTAGGTCCTCCTATAAAAATTTGCTTTTAGCGAATTTTAAAGGTGGGAATTCGGTGACGATTTGAAATGTAGCAAAGAATTGCAGAGCGATGAATGCAAGGGTGATCGTAAATAAAATGATATGAATATATTTAAAATAACGAATGACCCCGAATACTGTTTTAGTGAACCGCGATCATAGTTTGGTCGAAGAACCAAAACTCGATTGTGCTCAATAGTAATCAGGTGTATTTGGCTCAAAAAGCTTGTTTCAAAAAGTATGTTTGAAGTGCTCGCTTAAAGAGATTTAGAACATTAATTCTCCCAAAGTTCTGATGGTAGCTGGTTCCACAGTCTGGGTGTCTGCGAAATCCCTGACAATGCAGTACCCGCGGAAGGGTTGGGGCCAGGGGACTTTGACACCCCACTTTTTTTGCGAAATAAAAAAAATTTTAAAGTTTTTTCACGAAATACGTTTTTTGAAAAGATTAAGGATCCCGCAGAAAGTGCTAGTATAAGCAAAAAGAAGTTATTCTCTCCTTGTTCTTTCTTCTTGCATCGACGTAATGATTAATGTATCACTGCAGCCATTATCTTGCTAGTTTTCTGAATAAAAGGAGTGTTCATGATAACGTAGCTTCATGTCTAGACGGACGATAAGTTTTAGCACTGAACTTCCTAGCTTAAATGATACAAAGTCCCGCCTGCAATACAATAACCACATAGAGGCGCTTGAATTAAATCGGTGTTCAAAAATAAAAATAGCGATCGGAATATCAGGTTCTTTCTTGAAAAGTGGAAAACACACTGCATTCAGCTTTTGTCAATAATATCGATTCGTTCTTTGTTAGAGGAAAGCAAACATTCTTATAATAGGTAGAATCATTTGAACGTGCGTCCTCGGACAACCATCTCCCCCCTCGCTTCCCTATGCACATGAACAACGGCCCTCGCACTTAAAAAAAAAAACTGCTCGTGCCCTGTATCGAGGAATGTTAGAGTCTTTACAGCAGGTGGTAACAGAATCAGCTCATCATTTTATCTAAGGCGCTTATACCTATCTTCCCTTTTCAACTAGTTTTTGAATGTTGAACAATGTCGCTTGCCATAGAAATTAATTTAATCGTCTTCAGCAAATACGCCGTAGCCTTAAGGCGAGGTTTTGAAAAATTGCACGTTTTGTTTGTTGCAAACTTCAGCACAAATATCGTTTTGTGTGTTGCCGTTTGGAAAAATGATCCGTCGTCTGAATAGCTGCCGGTGGTTTACCGAACGGCATCGGGTACCGAGGGGGGCACACCTAACCAATAATTTTTAAATTAGTTTGTTTTAAATTCCCTTAAAAGACATTTAAGTGGGTCACTTCTTGCGCTTCATTGCTCAAGGAGAAAGGAGTATCAAACCGCCTTAAAAAATAGGCGGTGCTGAGCGCAAGGTTGTTTATGCACTAAGAACAGTTCAGTCTTTCACCTGAGAAAAAGAAATACAACTGTTACAATCATGCGCTCCTTCTTGTTTACAGTATTTGGTTTCAACAAAAGGCAAAGAACTTGTACCACTATTCATTTCTTACAAGTTTTAAGTGACGGCAAAAGGTTTCAAACAAAAAGTATTTCCCACATCATTTGATTTTTCCATTTTTTCATTAATTGACATCACCTTTAATACCTTTATACATTCCGTTATAATTTTCTTGAAAGAACTTTTTGTGGGTTAATTCTCGCGCCTCATTGCTCAAGGAGAAAGGAGTATCAAACCGCGTCACAAAAAGGCGTTGTTCAGCGCAAGGTTGTTCATGCAAACAGTCCTTTTACCTGAGAACAAAAAATCCAACTGTTACAATCATGCGCTCTCTCTTGTCTACAGTGATTGCGATTTTGGTAACTACAACAGCTAGTAAGTGATTCTTTGTTCTTTTCAGAACACCACATTATTTAAAAACATACAGTTTCTGCTCCATCTTAGCACAAGTTTTACAGTGTCGTCGCCAAGTGGATTGTTTCAAATTTGTTACAAGCCAGTTTCTCTCAATAGAATCCATTTCATTGCCATTTTTTCTCGAACAGTAATTCGAGAATTCGCTAGTATTGAACATGATTGAATTCATAACCAGGTAATTGAATTGCGTATCGCTAATACTTACTCAGGGGTTGGAAAATAAAGCGTTCCTAACCATGACATAAGAGGTTTATTCGCTATTTTGTAGCGCAGTTAGTTTGCTTGTACCCAAGTGTATTGACTCAAAAAGTAATTACTGTTAACTTCAAAACTAACGGAACAGTAAATTTCATTAATGCATTATATAGCCAAGTTAAGGCTGACAGTATTCCGATCGCTCAAGACGAAGTTTTACATACCGTACATCTTTTGGCAGAAAACCATGGCAACGCATAACAGAAAGTTTATTTGCTTATTAGAAAACAGTAACTAAGCCGTTGCTTGACGACTAATTTGGTGAACTGGTTATTTTTTTAGGGTCTTTAAGCGTGTATTGCATCTTGCTAAAAAGATTCAGTAAGGTTGAAGCATGCATGCAGTGAGTGCGTCAGAGTTCTGACTTAGCGAATTAACCAAGACGAGTTTAATACTCGATCGTAAACAACCAGGTTATCTGCATTCAAACCTAAGAACTAAGAGAATAAGATGCACTTTTTGTGACAACTTGAAACTACACATGTACATATCGTAACTTAGAGGCTGCATGTAGTGAATTGTCTTGCATAATGTATATGTGTTTGGACCTCTTGTTGGAAGACATGGCAAGAGACCCCTTGCAGTTCGAATCTCGTAAGCGGTGGTCGCTTTCGTAAGGCTACTGTACGGGCGGTAAAGCCTTAGTTCTTCAATTCGAGAAACCCATTGGAAAAGCTTTTAAAATTTTGACGTTATTTTTAAGCTGATTCGTGTTAAAACAGCTAAGAAAACAGCGTTAAGGCCACTGAATCTCGGAAGGGAGGCCAATATAACTTAAAGACGGAATTTTCGAATAAGTTCAGGTTAGTTTCTACAAATGGCAAAGAACTCGTGCCACTATTCATTTCTTCCAAGTTTTAAGTGACAGCACAAGGTTTCAACAAAAAGTATTTCCCACATAATTTGATTTTTCCATTTCTTATTAACTGACATCACCTTTAATACCTTTATACATTCCGTTATAATTTTCTTGAAAGAACTTTTTGTGGGTTAATTCTCGCGCCTCATTGCTCAAGGAGAAAGGAGTATCAAACCGCGTCACAAAAAGGCGTTGTTCAATTTACCTGAGAACAAAAAATCCAACTGTTACAATCATGCGCTCTCTCTTGTCTACAGTGATTGCGATTTTGGTAACTACAACAGCTAGTAAGTGATTCTTTGTTCTTTTCAGAACACCACATTATTTAAAAGCATACCGTTTCTGCTCCATCTTAGCACAAGTTTTACAGTGTCGTCGCCGAGTGAATTGTTTCAAATTTGTTACAAGCCAGTTTCTCTAATATAATCCATTTCATTGCCATTTTTTCTCGAACAGTAATTCGAGAATTCGCTAGTATTTAACATGATTGAATTCATAACAAGGTAATTGAATTGGGTATCGCTTACTTACTCAGTAATTCGAGATTTTCCTCGAGTTATTGGCTAGTATTGAACACGATTAAATTCATAACAGTGTAATTGAATTACGTATCGCTAATACTTACTCAGGGGTTGGAACAAAAAGCGTTCCTAACCATGACATAAGAGGTTTATTCGCTATTTTGTAGCGCAGTTAGTTTGCTTGTACCCAAGTGTATTGACTCAAAAAGTAATTATTGTTAACTTCAAAACTAACGAAACAGTAAATTTCATTAATGCATTATATAGCCAAGTTAAGGCTGACTGTATTGCGATCGCTCAAGACAAAACGAAGTTTTACGTACATCTTTTGTCAGAAAACCATGGCAACGCATAACAGAAAGTTTATTTGCTTATTAGAAAACAGTAACTAAGCCATTGCTTGACGACTCATTTGGTGTACTGGTTATTTCTTTAGGGTGTTTTAGCGTGTATGCCATCTCGCTAAAAAGATTGAGTAAGGTTGAAGCATGCATGCAGTGAGTGAATCAGAGTTCTGACTTAGCGAATTAACCATGACGAGTTTAATACTCGATAGTAAACAACCAGGTTATCCGCATTCAAACCTAAAAATTAAGAGAATAAGGAGTACTTTTTGTGACAACATGAAACTACACATATCGTAACTTAGAGGCTGCAGGCAGTGATTTGTCTTGCAAAATGTATATGTGTTCGGACCTCTTGTTGGAAGACATGGGAAGAGACCCCTTGCAATTCGAATCTCGTAAGTTAAAATTTTGACGTTATTTTTAAGCTGATTCGTGTTGAAACAGCTAAGAAAACAGCGTTAAGACCACTGAATCTCGGAAGGGAGGCCAATATAACTTATAGACGGAATTTTCGAATAAGTTCAGGTTAGTTTCTACAAATGGCAAAGAACTTGTGCCACTATTCATTTCTTCCAAGTTTTAAGTGACAGCACAAGGTTTCAACAATAAGTATTTCCCACATAATTTGATTTTTCCATTTCTCATTAACTGACATCACAAGGGCGGATCCACGATTTTTTTTAGGAGGGGGTGCACTCGTCTCTTGCTCTACTTCAACACCAATAAACCACATAGTTTTTTTTTTCAGAATACCAGTTGTATTAGAAAACTGCAGGTCATCTCGGGGAGGGGGGTGCGCACCCCCTGCACACTCCCCCTAGATCCGCCCTTGCATCACTTTCAATACCTTTATTTAAAAAATGCAAATAGGTCACATTCTTAACCTCAGGGGTTAAGCCAAGATGACGATGCACTTTTACACAGACAGTTATGTGTTCCAGTTTTGTGGTCATGTTTTTAGTGACTTTTACAATTTTAAGGCAACTGAGAGCCAGAATCTCCAAAGCAGCTGTTTTTGTGTCCTCTCTCAACGCTCCTCTTGTGTCAAAAACGGATGCATAGACGGAAACTACTGAGAGAAAAGAGACCTTCAAACTTTATATATATACATCTGGGTTTACACAACAATTGTTTTGGGCATCACAACCCTCACCCTGCTGGGAACCCGTGCCTAAATGCTTGGCTCGTCATTTGTCTGCTTAAACTACAAAATTGCCTGGACACTGCTGTTTTCTGTGGGCACTGTTAGAATTAGACACGGCACCCCTAAATTATATCTCGTGCCACAGACAGAACTAATAAACTTCTCGTTAAGTCATTAAAGCGGAACATATCGAAGCATTTGCCAGCGGTTTAACCTGGTTTAACAATTTCAAAATGGCGAACAGTAGACTTCCACAACTGAGCGGGCGACAGACCATTTTGTTGTGGTTTTCATAATATGGATTTTCAGAAATATATAGTGTAGGGAGAAAACCCCTCACTGGCTGCTTCAGTAACAACGTTAAGACGTTAACATGCTAGCTGATATAACTGGATGCCCTCGAGCAAATGTACTTCCAGCGGGAGTGGCTAACTTTGGGCAAGCTATGCATCCGTTAATGTATCGGTCCTTAGAAAAGCCACCCCAGGACACCCCGGATGGATTTGATTTGTACAGTGCCCAGGCCTCATTTGCTTGGCCGCGCGTTGAGCTGGCCCGGCCACTTTGGCGCGTCGACTTCGGCCTTTTGGATTATTTCCTTCGTTTTTGTCAAAGTCTGTGGCATTCGCTTCTCTAGCTGGAGTTTGGAGTTCGACTTTTATGAAAAAAGTTGTGTTGGAAAGGTAGCATGCCAGCCGATATGCCATCTCGTGCCTCCTACCTTGTGTATTATATTGTGTGGAGAGTGAATTGGAGAAAATTATTACGAAAATTTGTTTGAGCGTTAAGGACAACAACAACTAACTGCATAGTAAGTTTCGTTGACCTTTATTTAGTAATTCCTACAAATTTTAGGATCGACGGTATTTTTGAATACCCCATAGAAACACTGTAATTTTACCGGAACCGCACTGTGGTACTATCACTGAGCCTGGGATACCTGTAGTTTTATCTGGTGTTTTAGTAGGTATCAAGATTCATCCACCTGACCCAAATAGTCGTCATTTATTGACTTTTGACTGCATGAATAATTAGTGAATTTGAGAAGTTTTAGTAGCACTTTCAAAATCCAAAGGCAATTTAGAAAAAAAGTTAGCTCCATGTATTATATAGACAGCTATTCTATTCTTGGGAGAGAAACGTCACTGTTTTTGGTCATGGATAGCTATGATGGAATTGTGCCAGTCATCTTGAAAACATTAGGCCAACGTTTTGAATTTTTCCTGTGTATCCCTTACAAAATGGGAGGGGTAGGAAACGCCCTAAGAGGGGGATTGATGTCTGGGATGAAACGTATTTAACACTGATTCACAGAAGCCGGTTGTGTAAAACGAAACGTCCGACGAAGAAAATAACGTTTGACTTTCATACCAGTCAAACCTCTTTTTTAGCGCCGACATTAGCGGTTTCGTCAGACGTTAGGAGGCTGGGGCGACTCCCTTACGAAAAGAGTTCAATTCCCACTGGATTGGTTTGGAACACCAACCTGGCCGCCATGACGTCATGTAAAAATGCTCTGAATCCGAGACTTTCTGGTCACTTTTCTAAATTTGGTTTGGTTTTTTTTGGTGCTCAAGTTTCTTCTGGGAGTTGCGAGACAACAGAATCGTGCAAAATTGCCAATTTTTAACCGAAAGCCTCGGTGTCGTGATAGAATTTTAATATATCGAACGTGGGCTAGTAGCAACTCAGTGGAGACAATTGGTGCAGGTTTCTTTCAACATTCGCTAGCTAACTTTTATGTGCTCGTTTTATCCCCGTCAAAATAATTTTTACAAAACGCATTATTTTCGTGTTTAGAGAAACTTGATCACGTGACCAACTTTTGCGAAATGCCTATTTCTTTATTCACGCTACTGTGTTTATTCATTTATTTAGAACCTGTGCTGAAATATAACCGAGCATATTTTCGATCAAAAACAATGAATAATTGCCGTCACGACACTATCCCTTTACTGAATGATGGTGTTAACTTGCGGAACATTTTGTATTGATAACAGCATGCGATTGATGAAAGCGAAAAATGCGATAATTCCGGATTCATTATGCTTACGATCAAATAATCGGCTTTTGCTTTGAATTAAGAAACTCTCGAAGATGTAGTCCTTATCTGGATTCCAAAGAGTTTCCTCTTTAAATATATTGTAAGGATTATAAAGCTGATATGTAATAAATACTCAGCCCTTAGTTTTCAAGTCGTATTTGTTACCAATACTGAAGAAACATTCTTGACTACTCTCTGCAGATGTTGCTGCTCTGAAGTGTTACTTCTGTAATGAAGTGGGTAACGATGCTTGTTCAAAGAGTAAACTGGAGAGCGATCAAACTAAATACTCGATTGACTGTGGTGATCTCTCCAACCGCTGTATCAGGCAGGAAAACGAGGTACTTGGCATCAAAGGAGTAAGTGCAGCCTGCGCCACTCAAAGCCTCTGTGATTCTTTGAAGACTGCTTGCGACAAACTCGACACCTGCAACGACGTGGCCTGCTGTGAAACAGACTACTGTAACGCAGGCTCAGCTGTTTTCTCAAGCGTGTTCTCGATGGCCGTTTGCTGTTTTGTAGGGCTGGTGCTAGCGATGTAAAGAGGGCAGAAAAACGTTCCTTTAATGAGTTGTGACTTAGTTGATCATAGTTAAGTGGACGAGATTTTCACTAACAGATCGAAGTAATGAAATATAAAATAAGTTGTCATGTATCATGCTAGTTACTTCTTTTATAATACCTGCTATGACGTTTAAAGTGAAATACACTTATCTTGCTATAACCAAGAGGAACTGAGTGCCTTCTTCAATTGTTGTGTTTAGACTAACAGTAATAACAGAGGGAAGGGTGATAGGCTCCTGCAGAAGGGAAATAACTTCCGAACCAAAGCTAGAGACTCAAAATTTAGTAAATCGGGAAAATGCTACCAAAATACCAAGTAACTGAATATTGCTGGTGCATGAAAAATTGTACTTTCTCTTCACTCAAAAACGACAACAAAACTTTCGGGCATTTACTTCGTGTAGCGGACACAGATGATGTAAAACAAAAGAACAAACACCATGAAACAATACCAAGCAGATTTTTGCTTGAACAGAAAACAAAGAAGTCTTCTGTCTTATGTCATCTGTGTCCAGTACACGAAGTTTTGACCTAATTTCGAGACTATCCTTTGATAGATTGTGCTCACAAAAGTAGCATAATACAGTATGCTACCAGCAGTGCTCGTATATTTCTAAAATTATGCCAATAATTATGCTAGTTTTTGTAAATTATGTTCATTTTAGCAAAAATCCAGAAATTGTGCTTCTTACTTCTTATCTGAAATTTGATAACAACATCTCAATAACTAGGCAGCAGACAAGTAACTGGCAAACACATTTAACTTATTGACATCTAGAAACTTAAAGGGTGCATGACTCATTATCTGACAACTAAAACACTCAAACAATTGACAACCAGCATGCGGACACCATCTCCTTCTCGACCCTAGTGCTTACGCTTCTAACTTTGCCGCCATCTTGGATAACCGAGCTATGTATGCTCATGCGTAGATCGAGTCCTGTAGAAAGAGTCCTGAGTCACTCCACCCTGTCGGATCAAGGTCTCATGAATCAATGCTACAATAAGCAGACAAAAAAAAATATTTTGTTACTTAAATTAGTCTGTAACACTGATCTCGGGCCAAAAAAATTGGTTGCATGATCAATGAATGCCAATTTTGCGCTGCAAAACTAGCCAAATGTGCATATTTGCTAGCAATGCTTTTTTCGGAAAAAAAGATGAAAATTATGCTCGTTGTGCAGAATTATGCAAAAAATCGTGCTAGCACAATGTATCAAAGCCTATTGCAGAAACTTCCGTCATGTTTTCGTGTCCACAGGCAACCCAATGAAAATAGTCGATCGATGACTAGAGAAAGGATAAAGCTAAATGACCGGTGGCTCATCTTGATGGGTGCATGAGAATGCGAATTAGACTCCCCCCTCAGGCTGCTGGAAATCAAACCTATGTTGATGCTAGGGACGACTGAATAAGCCACTTTCGAGCTACACAAATGTCTTATCAGGGTGAAGCCCTGTTGTTAAACAAGAGTCCCGTGAGATTGAAATAACTTCATTTTAGTTCCTCTGCTGATAAAGAGGAGTTTGCCTGAGCCTGACCCCCCCCCCCCCCCCCCCTCCCACAATGACTGAATTCCAATTTGCCTAAATACATTATATTCATTTAGCAACTCTTGGATACTTGAATAAATCTAAAAAAAATTATGATTTTTCAAAGACGCCCAAAAAGATGTAGGTTTTGGGGAACAAGGGAACATTGGCAAAATATCGAAGGGATCAAGGGAACATGAGCCTATTAGAGAACAGGGGAACAAAACTGTACAAATTAGAGGACCACCACATTTTGATATAAGAAGACAATACATAGTACAAGACCTAGAGTTACTAAAAGGGACACGCATCTCCTCTGATTTTCCGGAACCTGATTTTCCTCCTTCATTTGAACACCTTGTTGCGTGTAGAGCGTAACTGGCAAATTCACCCTGATCATTGATACAAATAAACAACTTAATTACTTAGACTAACTACAAGGAGAGGATGAAAATTCTCTAGTTAGGCAATCTTTAAAGTTATCTGTTGACCTTCACTATAACCTGCTTTACTCCATTCTTATGAGATGACTGACTACAGAAGCCCGGCCTGGGCAATCGAACGATACCGAACCAAAAATCAATCGAACTCAATTAGTCAATAGGCCATTTTACAGTTATGGATGGAAGCGAGGGTGAGGGTGACCTTGTTTTGATACAAACCTTCTTTGCTTTGTTATGGAAATTGTTCTTGAAAAATACTAGTAAGCATAAGAATAACTTGATTTACATAATAAAGCAGGAAGGTTTGTATCAAAACAAGGTCACCCTCACCCTCGCTTCCATCCATAACTGTAAAATGGCCTATTGTTGTTCTATTGGTTCGGTAATCGAACATAATCGAACTGGAATTTTCCGGTGAGTTCGATTACCGAACTCAATCGAACCAATCGAACTAAATCGACGCGATTTTTCGATTTTGTTAAGCAGAAAGACAAAACGGTATAAAAATCACTGAGTAAGCATTTACAATAGTTAATTGAATCGGAAAGATTTCGCAGCTCTTACATGTGTGTGACTTAGGTATGAAAACATAAACACATTTCAATTGACTAAAATCTTTATTGTTTAAGTAATCGACAAATTTAATACTGGTAGGGCTTAACGACGGTAGCGGGGATAGGACTTATACAATTACACTTCAACCTTACTGTCAATGACCTACGCACTCAAAGCTGGTGGCCGCCACCATCGTCTGTTATCAATAGAGCTGGACCCCTATTTCCAATTTTCTTCGTAAAAATCACTGACGGCGAAAGAGCACTCGAATATCGTGGTAGCCCTTAACCATCGCTTCCAGAAATGTTAGTTTATTTCAAGCTGGGTTTCACGCTTTCCGCTTTCCCCGACATCTTGCCTGTGTCAGTACTCGTCTATGAAACTAACACCTAACTTATTTGTTAACAGCAACGCCTTGTTTTAAATCAGGTGAAAGTGGTTTTGTGCAAGATTGTTGAAGCTTCAATTTTTGAAAGTTCCGGGATTATGTTCGATTTCCAACGTTCGATTATGTTCCAAATGCAAAAGTTTTGCGAGAGCTCGATTATGTTCGATTATCGAACCCAATCGAAGTCAATCGAACGATTGGAGAAACTAGGCCGGGTATGGTATAAGTTGAACTGTAATTAACCGAATGAATGTAAAATTATAAGCATGACATAGATATCCTAAAGAAGAAGTTAATATATTTCATATTGGAACCCAACCCTTCAACACTCACAAAAATGTACGTAACTTTTATTACACAATGAGAACAACAACAACAACAACATTTATCTGCAGGACCATACAAGTACTTTTGTCATACTTTTGCCTCAAAAGCGGTTTTTTGAGCGATTTTGAAGGATTTTGAGTCCGCCGTTTACAGTAAATGGCGACCTCAAAATCTTTCAAAATCGCTCAAAACCGCTTTTGAGGCAAAAGGACCACGATATACCACAGGTAAGGTAATTCAAGGTTTATTTAACATTGATTTATATAAATACTTAGCGATATATCGTTATAGGTGAGGCAGACGGTAAATCCAGTACATTTACTACAAAATATCAATCTCTTGCACACACACCCACACACATTGTGTGGGTTCCCTATGGTGTTCATTCGGGGAGCACAAATATGGTCAAATATGGCTGCCGGAAATAAATTAACGGCTTGGAAACTAAAATTTGATAGCATTTTGTTTTGAATGAGGGTATGGGCATGATTTTCAGTTGAACATGACTTGCGAGCATAAAAATCGCATCCAGTGAGAGAGGGAAAATTTTATATATTTAGGCATGACAAAATTCAAGGGAACATTGGTACTTAGAAATAACATCTCATAGGCATGGAAAAAAATGGGTTCATGCCCTCGCAGCCCAAAATTGACCTAACAAAACTTAAGTCCCAGATCTCTCGCCGGGTTGATAATTCATTCCCAGTTTTCTCAAGGTGGGGTGTTAAGTCAAAAAGTAGGGGGGTGGTCTATCTTTCGATACATTAGCAGTGGCAAGCTGAAAACTTGTCAGACACATAAACGGCTAGTTTTTATCTATTTGGTATGCTCCAATTATGCAAATAAGTTCACGTGACACGCCAAGCCCAAAAAACCCTTGAACTTAATTGGGCACACTTTTTCTTGTTTCCTTCATTTTTCTACTAGTTTCATAATTATAAGGCCGTTAAGTATGTCATTTCTGCGCTTGGCAATGTCAAGAGTTTTCAAAGGAAAGGCATGTTAAAATGATACATTTGTATTGGGAGACTGGGTACTAGTCGAAAAACCCGTTTATTTTCAAAATAGACGAGATATTTGAAAGTTGCCAAGCACAGTTTTTTAGCGGCTTATATTTTGTATCTTCTTAGGGTAGTAAAGTAAGATAACTCTTGCTAAAAAGTGTGCCCATTTTTTCTTAAAGATATTTTGAAACTTTGAGGAGCGGTAAGGTCACGTGACCTAATTTGCATAATTTTGGTTTATTTTAAAGTATCAATTTTGGTGTTGTGTAATATTTTTTGGTATTTTCTGCTTCATGATAAACCATTCATATTATAGACCACCCCCCTCATTTTTACAGGAAAATGGGTGTTGACCCATGCCTTAATTTACCTGAGTTGGCTCGTCTGGTTTGGCATGCCGGGCATGCCGATCGTGAAGCCAGTTGGGTTTGGCATGCCCGGCATGCCGGGCATGAAATTGGCATGCCCAGCGTGACTGATTTTGATGTTCGCTTCAGCATCATATCCTGAGAATCACATAATCACCAAATATATCTTAGGGAGCTTGAAGTTGCAGGTTTCATGCCTGGCAGTAAATGCAGATTATAACAAAAAAAGTTATGTTTGTCACAATGTTTGTCACGGGATCGACTGGCAAAACTGAAGACGGAAGCCAGGATTTATAAATAAAAAGCACAACAAAACAACATTATTCATGCATAAAATAGAAAACTTCACTTGCAATCAAAG